ATGGACTATCCGACATAAAAAGTTTTTTTTTTAAATCGGACCAGTAGTTCCTGATATTGGCGCGTTTAAACAAACAAACTAGATAGATTAGTTTTTCAATTCTAATAATATCTTAATCATTTACTTTGTCAAAGCTTTATATAATACATAAGCAAATGGCTCATGTAAAGACAAAGAGCGAAGTTTTCAAAGAATGAAAGCATTCATAGAGCTATGTATTCGTACTACAAGAACTTCATTACACTTCCTCTGTTCACTTTTAAATAGTTAATTACTCGCAATGAATAGAACTTTCTCCTTTGAAAGTTTACATATTATAAAATAACTAAGCTTTAGTTTCAAAAGCTTTACTTCTCTTAGTTTAATTAAACTTGATAAAGCTATTTTTATAGATAATATGTTTTGTCGCTTTGTGTTTACTAACCAAATAATTGATTAAAAAGATTCACAATAAGTAAAGTTGCTAGTCTTTATAGAGAAAAAATAATTAGAATACTTACGCTAGACAACTTGCATAAATAAAACTTAAAAGTATTACTTAACTATTTAATTAAAGATAATAGAAAGTTTTTGTTACTATAAGTTATTGCTGACGATTCACGAAATATAGTGTCATCTCGCTCATTCTATTTGTTAAAAATAGAGACAAGAATGTGTTTGACCACAAGTATGTCAGCAGTAGAACTCCAGCAGTTTGTGTGCAAACTGTGAAAAACGTGATAAAGATCAATAGATTGCGAGAAAAGCGAAGAGACGATATCACGACACTAAATCAGCACCAGTTTCATTACAGCACCGGATAAAAACATTCCGTCCCACTTTTATTTCAGCTTTATCTTCAAAGAATAAAATAAAACCGACGTACGTTACTCGAATTCTAAGCAATTCTACTGAGAGGAGAAAAAAACGACAGATGTGTTAAATAAATCAGTTTTTTTCTTATCAACAGTGACGTCATGTCTATCTACTTTGACCTTTATCATGCCCCTAGCTGGTGCAGAATTGGTATCTCTTAGTGAAGTTTTACTAAGAGAAGTGTACACTTAGTGACACCCTTAAGTCTTCTGAGTACAGCTATAGGTGTTATAAATTTAATAAACTTGAATATTTTAAGACACTCGTACCTGACAAGGACCGTATCCTTTTGATGTAAATTGCTTTCAACGAATTTCTCTCAGCCATGACAGATTGTAATTGAATTTAGTCGCTTGAAATAGATTTATTAGTTACGTATTTATGTATTGACGAATCGCTCGCTGTATTGATACGAATCAATAGAATACCTTAAATAGACAGGGTCGGACTTGGTAAGGAGGTTACAGACAGGTTATGTAGTAGGTATTTCTGGTTATTTTATAGGAAGTAAATTTAAGGCTAAATGTTAGTTTGATTCTTCTGTAATATTTTCCTTATCATTTGTACATCGTTTATTGTCATCAATAAATAAAGATCAGGCGCATAAAGTATGAAGTGTGACGTCATTATATCGTTGTTTTTATAGCTGCTCGTTGGATATTTATTGTGAATGTGCCTCTTTTATGCCACGTTATGGTTTATTTATTACCAACCATTGTTATAATAAAAGTAATACCTCAATAATAGCTTGTACCATTTTGTAAATTGATGCAAATGTAACTCATAAAATGATTATTTTTATGAAATATTATAAACAAAGTTGATTTAATTATAGTCAACTCAAATATTTGGTTGAAAAAGAAATAAAATACTAAAACGATTCTTTAATATTAATTTTGGGAAGTTTTCAAACTGCAACCATAAACTATTAGGTCGTTAATTACCACTAAAACTGTTCGAGGAAGTAAAATAATGGAGGTAATTTTGCAGTTGGCGTAAATTTGCGCGATATTTCAGCCGTCAGGTTAACATGTCCGCATAGTTAGCGGGAAGTATGCTCGACTTCGGCGGCCTCTGTACTACACTACGACCCACTTCACAACTTTCCTATGTATAATCGCTCGTCATATTACGTCATTTATTTACATTTACTAACTATACTATGCTAGTAACCTCGCTTTTTAACGAATAAAAGTGGCCTTAAAGTCTTTGAATTTCACTCTTCTTAAGGTTTATTCTTGAGTTTTCGAAAATACTGTCTTCTTGTTTGTATTTTTGTACGTTTATAAAATCGTACGGTTCCTCATCACCCTTAAGTTACATCACAAATCAACAGGTATGATTGTGGGGATCATTTTAGTCAGCTTATGCTACAGGGCTGTCTGATCCGAGGACTGCAATTGTTGCAGGGCGCCCAGTCCCCGAGCAATATTGACGCCTGGGCTTTACGCTCTGGGCGGGCGCAAGCTACTACTTTCAGGGACAATACGACCCTGGTAAATTTAATAGAATATGTATTACGATCTAAAAATAAATGAAGGGAGGATTTTCTTAAATCGGAATAAATTTTATTTGCGTGACGTAACAAAGTTTAGTTTGCGTTAAGAAAAAGCGGTGAAGCGAGCGCTGCGTCATCGGCGAACTGGGTCAGCGGCTGACCGCGTAATTAATCACCCTCATTTAGATATTCAACGGGATGAATAAGGATTTATCCCGAAGGATTTGTGCCGGCGAGCTATTTAAGGTCGCCCGTCTGGAGGTGGCATCACCTCGAATTATAACTATAACTCATTGCTTTTTGTGTTATTTGCATTAATTTATTTATAGAAAAATCTTTAGAAAACATCGCTTAATTTCTTAAATTTATTTTAACTAACCTTTATGTTGGCTATACTTATTGTGCTTCGCTATGTCTTTGCTCCTTGCTTTTTTCATATTGCAATTAATTTAAATCAACTCTTTGGTCATCAGGTTTTTTCTATATCATACAAGTAAATATTATGATTATGTACTCTGAAGTTTTACCAATCGATTATTTTTACTACTCTACACCATTAATTGAACTGTCGTCTTTAAGTAGTCTGTGACACTCTATGAGCTCTCTGCACAGCTAGTCTGTGCTAATGCGTGTGCCGTGTCCGAGCCTCTACATTCTAGTACCATCCTGCTGTTTGTCTTCAACATATTCATGCCAAGTTTTCACCATATATGGGTTAAATGCCAGATGAAGCTTAGTTCTTAGTCAAAATATCATAGTGTTTTTGTTGAATATAGCTTTAGGCATTATGAATTGTATCACTTCAGAAAAATACTATCTCTAAACCTTCTTTTGTCTGTATATTTTTTTACATACACAGAACTCTGAAAATAAATACAGAGGTACTTTTTATATCTAATTTAATATGATTAAATTAAATAACACAGCATAAAATAAGTCACGAAAGGTGTAAAGTCTCGCACAGAGAGGAAATCTTCAAGGAAAAATAACATTTGAGTTTCCTGTAATTTTACTCAACAATTTTCTTCCGCCTGAAGAGTCGGCGCCGCGAGAAAATAAAAATGACGTTAAGTCTGCTGGATTAGGCGCTTTGTAAATGTTCACTAAAAGTGAAGTTGGTTTTTTTTTCCAGAGCAAATTATTATTTTTTTTGGTTTCTTGTTATGTAAATTACAAGACTTAAATTAACTTGTAATCTAAGCTGATATTCCAAAGGAGTAATCCTAGTCCCATAATATATAATAACTATCAAAAGTTTTTAATGCTGATTAAGATTACAATGCAAGTTCAAAAATAGTTATTTAATTTAATCACTAGTAATAATAGATGTATTCTATTTATGTTGGTAATTCCCTTATTATTTTAATTCTATTTTAGTGTACTTTAAAAGTTAATTATTTCTCATTTTACTTAAAGTAAAAGGCAGCAAGTACAAGAAATGTACATTAGCGCTTTATTTCTAAGTCGGCTAATTTGTTGCCTTTCTTTGTTACCAGAGACAAAGGATAAGAAAGAGAGAAAAAGTTTAATTATACAACAGGATGTTCCTATTTTCTAATACTTAATAAAATAGATACTTTAATTTAACAAGAAATTTGGAACTAAATTGTCAATTTAAACATTACAACTAGACTAGTAATAGAGGCATAGTACTTAAAATTACAAGAGGCTTTCTAGCGTTAAGAGCCTTAACTAATTTAACCCTTTTTTATATCGTAATAAAGTGCTTTTGAGTAATAGAAGGTCTAGTAATATAATTACAAAGGACAACCAAAGCACCTCCTGTAAGGGTCGACTTCAAAGAGAGGAATAATATCTTTGCCAATTGAATTATATCGTGCACCAGCTCTCGCCCGCGACTTTGTCAGTGCAGAATTTAGATAACTAAGTACGTCTAAAATTAATATTTTACTATAATTGGAGTCTATGACATAGTATTTCGTACACATGATATATAATATTTTCGTAGCTGATAACGAAAAACAATTTATATTATATTTGTTTGTATGTTTATCCTGCTGGCTGCGTTTGTTCCGTGTAATTTCCGGAACGTCTGGATCGATTTAGACTGGTAGTTATTGCGCGTGAAATATTAAAGGATACTTTTTCTTCTGCGCTGACAAAGTCACGAGCAACCGCTAGTACATAAAATATGTTTATAGAACAGCCGGAAGCATTAAGCGGGTAGTGCTGGCCGGAAGTAAGGTAGCTTCGATATTATAGTAATGCCTTACGACAAATTGCCAAGGATTTATCCTTATTTATAGTTCACTCGGAGCAAGTCGTTTGTGCGTAACTACAGAAATACAATACCACGAATTTGAATTGACGTTGTGGTAGAGCTGGCAACAACATCTTTTGCTCGACCGACGCAAGTGAAGGACATTCTGCGTTTCGATCGATCAGCGCGCGTACCAGAGGTCAAATTTTTGTCCACATTCTTTTTCCATCCTTATAACGATAATGATGGGAAGTGGAATTGGATTTGCCGAAGGAGAGAATGCATGGAAAGGAAAAATATCTTCGTTCCATTTGTCCTCCTCCTTCGTTGATTGATCGCTATTTTGGCGAATACAGGTGGGATCTAGGTTTACCAACATAAAATATAAAATAAAAAAATTTAATCAATAAAATATTTTTAATATCGCTACTGCCTTGGCAAGAATTGCACATATAATTGCTTTTCAGGCGTGAAGAACAGCCCTTGTCTGGCGATGTGGCTCTCTGAGGGCGGGTCGGAGTCGGGCAAGGGTTGGAGTCTGTACTTCAGGATGACAGAGGCGATTGCGTGACGAAGATTCAACATGGCGAAGCGTTGACCTGACAAACAGTGTAACTTCATAAAGAAATTGTAGAATATTGATTTTTTACACTGAATATTAACTTTGAAAATTAATCGTAGTGAAAATTGACAAATGATGAAATAACTTCAAAGTTAATTTGATTTATTACCTATGCAGTTTCGTGGGCCTGCTCCAAACGGCAGGAACCCAAAGGACTTCTTTACCAGGCCATCGTCAGTGAGGAATCGTTCCGGGATGAACTTATCTGGTTCAGGATAAACGAGAGGATCATAGCGCATCCCTATAGAGTTGATGAGCACGGGTGTTCCCGCGTGGATCGTCAGGTTCTCATTTACTTGGTAGCTCCTCGCCGCCATCCGGTCTATCCATCCTAGCTGAGAATACTTCCGTAAAGTCTCTGCAAGTTCAAGACAGTTTCTTGGAAATAATAGGAATGTTTTCCATATTTTACAATATCTGTGGCTGCGACGTTGTCCGCGCGGAATTAAATAAAAGTTAGTTAGTATCCTATGTATTCTTCCAAACTATTTTCTACATCTATGCCAAATGTTAATAAATGTTAGTCATACATACCATTTATAACGCTATCCAAATAACTTAAGTTACAGATATCATTTGTATGAAGATAATCATCACCCGTCACAGGTCTGCCTTCTGATACTTCTTTAAAAAGCTTGTCCTATAAATAAAAAAGTAATAGCAAAGACTACATTCTTTTAAATCATTCAAAGACATAGCTTATTGATTTAATAAAATAAAACTATAGACTATCTAAGAGCTGTCTAAGAAATTAAGCTTAATGTGAATCTCCAATATTGCCATCCCTTTCAACCTCTTTGAAAATAAACAGAAATAGTTACAATCACCTGAATTGTTTGATCAAACGCGAGTTCGTACATGCAGAAGGTGAGAGCATTGGCGGTGGTGTCGAAGCCGGCTTGCAGGAATATTATCAACTGTGCTATTATCATATCTTCAGAAATCTCTGAAAAAATAACATCTTTTAAAATTGTGCATAATAAAAAGAAATTAAGACCAAGTTAGTTGTAAGAATTTCTGCAAAACGTAATATTATAGTGTTTTGTTATAATTTTCTAGAGTTTTGGTAACGTATACTCGTCTTTAAACAGACGTAAAGTGGCCAATGAGCATTAAAAATTTCAGAACTATGTCTACTTTTAGTAGACTGACTACATTGAAAAAGAGAGAAAAACTCTATGGAAAAGAAACGATTATTTTTGGTTACAGTGACAAGACAGGCCAAAATTTGACTATCGTAGTGATCTGATTAAAGTCATGATGATATGACATCATCTCCATGCGCTATCTCCTGAGCTGATGATGTAAATGTTCCTGGTAATTGGAGTGATTCTTTACCAATATTCTTGAGCACTTGATCCTGTTTTAATTTCCTCAATGTGTCCAGTAGACTGTGAGGATTCGTGATATCAGCCTCATATCCTCCTTTACTGTTTAAAACTGATCGATATATTTTACGAAAGAAAGCAATTGTCGAGTTTGGAAATGCTTTAGCCTTCAGAAACCTTAAAAAAATTAAGATAATTACTGTGAGTAAAGAACAACTAAATTATTAATAGAGTAATTTAAAAGTGATTTAGTTAAGTTTTAAGTACTCACCATAAATAATTGTCTATAATATTAGCGTCAAAAAACAAAACAATCCAAGTAAGTTTTCTGAGTAAATCAAATTTCAAAAGTATTAAAGTGAATTTTCGTAAAATGCTCTCTCCAGTGAGTGTGGCTTGACCCTCTGCGCCCAAAGTCACCGCGCCTATTATATCTGTTGTATAGTCGCTAAATAATTGCTGAAACAATGAGAAGTTATCCTTTTAGCACCTACAATTTATTTTATTTTACTTTTATTGGCCTCTATCTTTCAAAGTACTAAAACATTATTTTAGTATTTTTGCTTTTATTACTGTCTTTGAGAGCCACAATCGTTCTTAATAATTGACACCTCGATGTTCCTGACGCTCGTCTGCCCACGTCTTTAAAAAAAACTCATCCACAGTATAAATACATTTTCCCTTACCTTGAGATTTACTTGGTTCTTTGCAGACATGTCGTTGTTAATTCTCAATACAAGATCGTTGGTTTTGCATTTTATTAGTCCGTATAAATTTTTAATTTTAGTCGAAGTAAAAAGAGAACTTAATTTTCTTCGCAACATTGACCAGTATGGTTCCTGCAAAGGATTTAGAGTTAACCAGACACAGTACTTTAGTGTAGTTATAGTAGACTAGCTGTTATAGCCCGGAACTCCGTCCGCACGGAATCAGAAAAAACTATTTAGTATCCTATGTAATCTCCCAGGATGTGGTCGACTGGTATAGATGCCAAGATCCAGCGAGATCCATCTATATATCCAAACATGCGCATTTCTTATATAATATTAGTATTATAATATAAGAAAATGTACTTCTCGTTACAATCTGATAGGGAGAAATAAAGAGAGAAAGAAAGAAATCAAATTCTATAGCAATCAAATCAAAAAGATCAAGTGTTTACCTGTAATGTGAATATGTTTTTGCTTCCGACCGCATCGTTAGCGGGCGACCTTACAAACCTCTGTTTGAAATTAGCAGCATCTTTGATCAGTATTCTGTGCGCTGCTTGCGGACAATTGACGATCAGTGCTGGCTTGCAGAACAACCAGATGCCAACGTACGGAGACTTGTACAGGCTGTGTGCACGCTTCAGCAATATTGTCTAGAATTTTTTATTCTATACATTAATTAAATTGGAGTGTCTCTATGTCTGTGCACAAGACCGCGTTTGTTCCAGATAATCTCCTGAACGGTTGGACCAATTTTAACAGGACTTTGACGGGAAGGTAGCTTATTTATGCAGGCATATTATGTACGACTATTTTAAATGTGCGCTGACAAAGTCGCGGGCAACTGCTAGTAAAGAAGAAACTAGTGCTTGTAAAATCAATGAGAATAGAGTGCATAATTGTATGAAGAACTTACAGCGTTATATTTTTGTAGCAAATGTATGTTCCCCAGTAAGGGAATAGGAGGATGGCTCGGTACTCCTCTCTGGCTCCAGTACATCTTCAGTCTGCGCCAGCGCGTGTACAGCAGTGCCGCATAGCACGCGACAACCGCTGATAGTAAATACATGTAAACCTAAAATAATAATATTTTAAAAATTACATTAATTTAAATTTTCTTTGGTAAACTTATGTTCAGACAATGTTACAGCGCATGCATTCTCATTGATGTCAATCAATGTATTATAATTTAAAAATATTTTCAAGATGAGATGAAGTAAATACGCTATAAAGGTCTTATAAGGGTCTAATTTTTTAAACCTTTAAGAGACTAAACATATTACACTATCAAAATAAATTCTCGTGCCCCGATGTAACTACCATAATCCTCAGAAAAGGATTGTCGATTTTAATAAAGTTTTATATGCATTTTGAGTAGGTCTGAGAATCGGCCACTACTTATGTATATATTAACCTCGCGGATGGAGTCGCGGGTGACAATTAGTAATCGATATAATTTAAACTAAAATTCACTTACTGCCATATTCTCGTTCTCGCCGTGTAGAAAATTATCAAAATACAGATATTTATATTAAAAAACTATTAGAATTGATGTAATTGTAAGCAGAAAATACTTAAAGTCACATAACTTGGAAGTAATACATTAAGTTAGCGTGATACAGGACTTGTAAACACCGAGTGGTAAGTGCACAACTTTGTGCTAAGCCTTATAACTACTTCTACTACTGTATTCTTCTTTATACATATACAATACAATACAATACATATATATGACTCTAGCTGTCGACCGTGACTTCCACAGAATTAAAAAAAAGTTAGCCTTCATCAGCTTCCTTACCGTCCAAGTCCCTTCAAAATCGGTCCAACCGTTCCGGTGATTACCCGAACCAAACGCGGCTTTAGGAATAGACACCAGACAGACAAAAAAATTTGGAGATTAGTTTTTCATTGTCCTACGCGAGTTTATCATATGTATGAAATATGATTTATTTACATACATACAGACACTCCATTTTTATTTGTGTATATACATGTGTAGATTCTATTTTTACCTAGAAACAAGTTCCGATGTTTTCCTTGTAATAATTGTTACTAAAATATTTTGTAATTTAAATGCATATTTCTCAACGACAATGTTCTAATGCTGAATCAAGTTTTTCCAACTTGTAAGACATAAAATCGCTTTTCTTAAAGATAATGGAATGTGTAGATATCTACAAGAAGAAATGAGATACCATCAAAAACAAAACTTATCAAAAAAATCAAATCTCGCAACTTTGGTTTTTTACAATAAAAAGTTTTTGAGATCCATGTAATTCCGAGTCGGATAAATTATTCAGTCTCTACTTAAGAGATGTTGTTTCTTAAGTAATAACGTAATTAGCTAACTTAACACCGTCATGTAGTGACGATATCAATTATAAAAAATATTTTATGTTTACACATAGTAGTAGTAAATTTATAAGGTTTGTAAGGTCTCTATCCTTTTAAGGAGCATAACAATAAATATAAAAAAGATATGTAAGTTTTTTTTACATATTTAA